ACTTAAAGATTAATCTTCCATACCGAATGAAGTCAAGAACGGGCGTAATTAATGGAGGTAATTAGACGTATAATATGCTATAATATAACTTCTTTGATCAGAAAGAATAAGAAAAAATGTACCTATAAAAGTGCATTAAAATGCTTGAAAAGATCAAGTATATCGATTATGCATATATCATTGGTATAATTCATATAATGTATTGATAAAATACATATCGTATATATGTATATCAATGTTATATAATAAAATTATAATATAAGAATTGTGTATATATAAAATTTTTCTCGCTCTCCGCGCTCTTTATCTTCTCTATTTTCTTATTCGTGATTTTGTTACTTTTTGAATTTTGCGGTTTCTATGCATTTTCTGTGGTTCTTACGCCAGTGCGGCTTTAGCACTCATTACACTCTGGCAACCGCTGCCTTAATTTCTCTTTGCCACGTACCCTTCCTCGCGGAAGCCGACCTTTCTGGCCGCTTGACCATTATTTACACCTACTCCCATTCTAATTTGACAGTATTTCTTTTTTAGAAATTCAGCAATACACTCTTTAATGTTTATATTTTTTCTTTCGCCTTCTACGATTTTTTTAATCATTTTAATGCAAATGTAAGGATGTTTTTTTCTTTGAATTCTTATTGTATTTTGTGAGACTTTTTAATTACGAATACATTCCACATACACGCCGAGTAAGGTAGCCAATCAGCATATTCCGAGGGTGCAAGGACATGTGCTGTCGTCCCGCGTCAACATGTTCTCTCCCCCTTTCGCGGCCTAATTGTACTCATATTCGACATTATCTCGTCTATCTGCCCAATAGTAAAGTCACACGGGGCGAAGGGAGGAGACACGCTCGTAATCTAGAAACCTTCCTCGGTCGTTCACATGCAAATGTATGCCGAGACGGCCATTAGGTTCTCCACGGATCCAGGCCGATGTACAGGCGGACACTGATCCCGGCTGCATCCTTTGTCCTTGCGACGCCTTTCCAGCAGTTCCGTCTCGTTTGCTATTTTACGGAGGGATATCTCTCCGAATGAAGAAGAGAGCGTACAAATTAGTCGGATCGTTAGTGAAATCCATATTAACGAGACACGCCGGTTCTCCCTCAGTGGAAACGCACTCCGGATCCCATGTTAATTCCAATCCCCGAGTCTCCTCGGCGACGCACAAAGAGGAGAGTCGCAGCGACTGCGCGCGTTCCGTATTCTTTTGTCGCGGTAATACCCTCCGCCAAACAAGTCTTGAATATTTTAAACATATTTCATAGAAACGCATAAATATCGTCTGAAAATATATTTCTCTCTCTCTCGTCGTTGTAGTGACAGGGAGAAAAAAATACATACGCATGTTTCAAAGTATCCGCATGCTCGACGCAGATGTCGAGCACAGGTCAAAGGGACTGATTAACCATCGTAATTGAAAGAATGCAGAGGAATAATCAAGTAAGATAAAACAATTGAGAGAAAGAGAATAGAGAGTACAGGGCGCGCACAAAAAAAAAAACCGATACGTCGCGACTTTGCAATCTTTTCACGCATCAAAGGGCAACACCGACGCGTGATCGATAGTGCGCCTTGTATCGGGTATAGATTCGCTCGGATATCTCATCGCGGCAACCCCTCGTTCCGGAATTACACGCGCGACACAAGTCCGCGTCGCGCTGCGTGTGCACATCCGCACGATACACGGCGCCGATATATGTACATATAATACATATCTCGCAGCATCGCTTTTGTGCTCCTCGCGATTAAAAGCTGCATAAACTGGCGCCGGCTCGTTTATTTCTGGCCGTTCGAAAAGCGATTGCGCCCGATGTACGAGATAGTCATAACCAGTTCGTATACGCTCATCCGCCAAATATCGCGAGAAATACTCGCGAAAAGATCGAGTATCAATGAAACTGTTAATAACGCGCCAATTTTCCAGATACCCGTTGATCTGCTCTGTTATTATTATCCGTCTCCGGTATTTTACGAATAGCATGGAATAAATTACATAATTTTCAATGATGCGAGTAATGCGGTGGAGAAGCGCGTTATAATGTGTTATAATGTTATAATGTGTTTCTACAAAAGAGCGTCAGAAATTCGGCGTTTTTACAATGGAAGTTGTTTGATTCCCGTGTGTATCGACTGTTTGATATCGCCAAATAATTTCAACCATTCGATACGCATCTGCGGTTTAAAATCCACTATCGTCTCTATAATCCATTCGTCTGATGGAAAGCGTGCACTTTTGCGTGAAATTTCCTATCGATGATCAGCTCGGTACAAATAGAACCCGCGAGTCTAATTGAACTTTTGGCGCAATGAGCCCTTTTCCCCTCTCTCTCTTTCTTTCTCTCTCTCTCTCTCTTTCTCATCGTCCGTATAATTAAATCGCGCAGCTGAGCGCCAGACGTGTGAGTCAATTTACAACAAATCCGCGTGAGCGGTTCATTTGCTGAAATCGTCGAGTAAATAACGGACGAGAGATCAGCCTGATTTGTCTTTCGTAATTTGAGCTCTTGGCAAACAGTTGTTTGCAATCTGCGCCGATTCACTGTCTTTATTGTATTCAGTTCCGTTGGAAATTTAAATTGCCAAAACGAGAAACGGGAAACTGCGTTGCGCGCTGCGCCCAGCCAATCGGTTATCGAACGTTAATCGGCTTTATGGATTCTGTGTCAGAGTATCGATCCAAATAAAATTTATAACAAATTTTATATTTTCGTATTGTATTCTCTTTCGAATCCGCACAAATAGGTGCTTTTAATCGATAAACCAAAATATTTTTGTTGTTCTCATGCGAATATTCTTCTTCTTTACTCAAGTATTGATACCGTTTACATAAGATATATCGCTCAAAAAAGAAAGAACGCACACTTTTTTATAAATAATAATGATAATGTGTATGGGTAATGGAAAACGAAGAAAAATTATCAGAAGTTTAATTTTCATCTTTTCTCATTATTCAGGTACTTAAACATTGAAAATTAATATTGAGAAATTATGATAAAAATGATAGTTTTCCGTGAAATCTTTATGTAGAATAGATTAATCGCAAATTTCGTAACGCTGATAATTTTTTCTAATCTTTATAACGCATAATCATGGGAAAATTGTCTATAATGAAGAGGGAGAATAAATTTTGCAATCGATTTTCCCGCATACATTTCACTTCATCTCAATTTATAATAAGATTTATATTTTATACTCTTTCTGAGGTCTCTTCGAAGTTTTAATTACATAGCCACGGTAATGTTCTTCCTTTTTATTATCGCGTTAACGCCCTGATAGAGCTCCCGTCTTGCGGAATACGGCTACTAAATTCACGAAACGCTGATAACGCTTAAACGAGGTCTTTAGATACGCGGAAGGAACGAATGCCGGCAAATTCCTTTAGGTAATTAGCGTGTTCGTAAGTAGTAGAGTACGCGGAGATAGAGCGAGGTATAAGACTTCGTTTGCGTTTCCGCGATACGTACGCATGGATGGACTTTCCCGTTTTACTATTACAGGTGTTCGCAGGTGCACACAGATATACACGCGTGGTACAAAGGATGCTCCAAAATGCCGATGGCGTAACTGGGTCGGACTTCTTGCTTGGTGTAGCGTGATTTTGTGAGATGTACATTTAACACTCCTCATTGACCCGCCGTTAGTTACTTCGATCGAATTACTCATGCGAACCCCTTTCGCTTTAGGGATAATGGTAGATGCGCCCCCGAAACGTATCCAGACGCGCGTCATGCAAAGGCCACGGCGCGTCGCCCCGTCACGTTCGATTTTATTGCGATGATTCAGACGGCGTGGCGAGCATCGCCAAATGCGCTTTGAATAGTTCCATCGGCAGATTGTAAAAAATGCGAGTTACGAGTCCGTTTTACGTGCAATTCCTCCATGGAATAGTTCCGGACGTGTTTGTATGGAGATTTAATGGCCTAGATACACGCATATCAAACAGAGAAGAGTGCTTCTTTATGCACGTGCATACATACTTGATGTCTTCATTTAATATCTCCTTTACCTTCTTGCTTTTTTTGCGCAATTAAATCTATCACGAGAAAAATGAGTATACGAGTACGATCATTTATTTGTGCTCAATTATTAAAACATTTTCGTAATGCCGTTTTAATGCTTTCGTAGAAAAATAAATCAGTCTCATTAAATTTTCTCCGCATTTTTATACTTGTTCAATTGCTCATTTATTATCCGTAGATTTTAATTTTTCGATTAGATCCAATTAAAAATCACGAGGCTATTTATTTGCTTCAAGAATATAATCGAGCTTGATGAAGTACAATAGTATATATACAGTTTGACTTAATATGTTGTTTTATAAAGAGAGAGAATTTTTGCTTTCAATATTCTAGAATACACACTTTTTATATAAAGATACAACGTTTATATAATTTATCCCGCGTGTTTAAAAATATTTTTAATATTTTCTCTGATCTTTCATATATTTTGAAACATGTTAATTAAAAGGCTTAACGCATCTCTGTTGATTACTCTTGTATCGATCAGATGATAACATGATGAACGAAGTCAAAACCTGCAATAGCGTAACTTTGACCGTCTATTAGGCGATCCGTACACGTCTGCATCGAGTCGTTTCCCCTCGTTAAGGAATGTAGGTGGATGAGAGAGGGCGAAGATGGCGTGCGGATTGCGGAGGCAGTCGCGAGCGTTTTCGCGCTTCGCAGCCGCAGCAGTTCGAAGTTACCATTCGGAGCACGTAGATTGCTAACCTAACTTGTTTAGCGGTTTTAGCGGTATTTGATTAGTTGAGTGAATTTCCGAACTGTTTCAGACCGCCTCCCGCTCACTTGGCTGGGCTGGAAATCGGACGGGGACACAAACCTTGGGTGAATTCGATAGATACACAGAGATATATCGGTGACGCATTCTTCTCCTTCTCTATCGTAAAGCAAAATTGTCTACACTGTCGGAAAAAAAAAATTATCTCTACATTATATTTTAGAATACGTAATATTTCAAGATTTGACTTACCTTGCGAGTAGTTCATGTCCTTCGTTCATGTACCTCGATAGTCACTCCTTGCCGGAGTCGCAGTTACGTAGAGATAAATCACCTGAAACAAGTCATAATTAAAATTAGAATGTAAAGCTGACAAGAATAATCTGTTAAAAACAAAGGTACAAAAGCTTCTTTTGAACGTATACAATATGATAAAGGATTATTTTAAGAGAAAACTAATAAAGAATTTTATTTATAACAAAAGTTTTTTATAGGTTGATACATAAAATGAATATTCCATCGGCGATTATAACTGGGATTAACGCAACACTAGTACGTTGATTCGATTGCAAATAATTCGAGCGAGGAATTCTCGGTATTCGAACTATATTCAAGCGTTGACGACGTTAGATCAAAGATAATATTGATTCGTAGTCAGGGAATGGATCGGGTGTTACATCCGATGTTCGAAGTTCGCTCCTCGCGACCGCAGCGATTTCGAGGATGATAGCCGGGACGTTAAATAAAGAGGATATTCGGCGGTGGCGACGACGCTGACCCCCCGAGTAAATTAGTTCCGGAAACTATTTCCAAGCCGGTTTAACGGCCGACGTATCACCAGCAATCCCTCGTACGTAAGCTCGGGAACTCCTTCGACCATCATGCTGGCCGAACACGTTTTGGAAATGCCCCGCTGTAATTAAGGCTGCTCTTTTTCACGATGAAACGAAACGAACGTAATGTAATTTAAGCAAAATATTGATCGCTACACGATGATAATATTTCTTTGATGCTCAAATCTAATTGGCAACTATTGTTTTACAAGAAAAAAATTGCATGATATTTTTTTATAATATATAAAAGGCTCACAAAAATATGAATCTTATATTGCTATCGATTTAGTAATGCTCGAGTGTTTCTTCCATCCCTTTTTCTTTGGAAATAATTTCGAGATATAAACGCGAATAATTAAAGTCCGTTTAGCTCCTTGTAATATAAGAGGACTTATTAGTTAATATCGAGTCGATTTTGAAATTTTTTTATGATCATTATAAGAAGAAAGAAATCCCCCACATCAAGATCTTGATAAAAGTTTTATAAATCATCGTAATTGTGTGTTGATTGTCGTTGAATATTACTGAAATACAGATAGCTCACGGTAAAAGAAATCTTTTTCTTTAGTTGAGCGCTCTTTTAAATAAAGTTTTATTTCAACATATATAATATAGTAGCCAAGAAAAAAAATTTGTTTCTATGATAATTCTGTCATGTATGCGGGCTTTGTGCTATATAAACGAATATACTACATGTATGAGTGCAGGTGTTGAAATTCAGTTAAGCTCGATATGGTTATTGTTTGCTCCAGCTTTTTACGATATTGGTTGCCCAAAAAAATATAACAGAAGAATAGTTTTATTTGCACCATGTTTGTATAAAAATAGATTACGGTTATTCCCAAATGTGGCTATATTTAAAAGACAATACACGACGTCGATCAATATTATCGCAATTTCGTGGAATTCCTGATATCTCTTAGTAATTGGAAAATTTATTTTTATTTATTGTAAGGTATCTCGGAAATATATAGAGGATACTTTGGAAGGTTAAAAATTGCACATTGCTTTATACTGATTTATGAAATTTAATCATTTCTAAAATATGTGTGTACAAAGTTTGGCATAACAAATTGGACAAACTGGAAGAAATATGTGTACCTATATATTCGAGCATCTGCTATATGGCTCCGATTCTATGCAAATCCAGAAAATACCAGGCGCAATGCTCGTCGAAACGTCGATTCTTGCGAACGGTTCTATTTAAAATCGATTCGACTCGCCCCTCTCGATTTCATCCTCACATGTTTCAGCAGAAAATCGAAGATTACAAAATAAGTATTTATAGAAACGACACGCATCGTAATGCATTAAAATATTTAATAATTAGTAAAAAAAAAAATCTAATCGATAGCGAATGATAGCCGCGAAAATAATGGATCAAAAACTTATATATATAATATGCCTTTTTTTTAATAACATTAAATTACAGTTTATAATAAAAGAAAAGAATAAAGAGTTTTTTCGAGAGTTATTTAGACACTTTTATGATTATATGACATTTAATTATAAAATTGCATACGTAAATGATTAATATTGGTTTGTCTTATATAAGTACAAAGTTGACCATGCATTGTCCAACGTTTTATTAGCAAGTACATGAACGCGGATAACGCGTCAAAGACATCCCGTCACGTTGGATATGAATTTTGAAACCGTACACCGCAGACCGACGGCAACGCTGAATTCGTCAACGAAGCTCGACAGAAATTCACATTTGGTGTAGATGGGCGTGCGCGAAACGGTCAAATTTGCATTCTTGACCGCACAGAGGTAGAGAGAGAAAGAGGGAAAGAGAGATAGAGAACGGCCCGATGGAGCAAGGAGGTGAAACTAAACTGGCACAAACGAGCTAATTTGCTCTCATTAGTGCGACTGCGTACATTGTCCTCGTTATGAGCGGCGGCATGTTAATTACACTTACACGTTGTCCGAATAGGCAGATAATGCATCCGGTCACCCAAGGTACTGTCGTATCGAGCGTATGTGTCTGCGAAGATGAAACGGAAAGGGCGATCTTTCATGTCGCGCGAACCGTTTCCGTTATTTCTGCGAGTCAAAAGCGTTTTCGACTCCTAAACGGTCATTCTGGCGAGAACCAATGAGCGGTAAATTTGATAATTCATCAAAGTGATAAATAAAGCATGTCTCATATTCGTTAAAGAGGAGCTGTAAATATAATTGAGAATTTTTCAGTCGAATTACTTGCGCAAAAGATTTCAATGTAGCAATTTTAAATATCAGCATATACATTTGTAAATGTCAGTTCCGATAAATCGTATCAGACACGAAATTTAAGGAATCGCGCGAGATACACGGGCGAATAGGTGCCGTTTCCCCTTTCGTGTATTCCCGCGAGGAAGTTTTTCCCCGATGTTTCATCTGACGGAGGAGCACCACAGCCGGTCGCGTCGCGGTAAGGCGCGGTAAGGCGCGATGGTCGCGGCATTGCGCCGCATTCCGCATCCCTCCATCCGGGGAATCCCACGGTCGGCGTGTAGCCGAGCCGCGACGGGGGATTTAGTTGTATTTTATTCAGCCACTTTATTCCAAGACTTGTCGCAGTTTTACATTTCCATCGGCTGCTGCGGGCGCGGCATGTGGCGCACCGTGTCGGTTCTATTCCTATACGTACCTACCACCAACTCTACGCAACGCTCTCCGTCTCTTTCTCTCTCACGACGACAACATCAACAGCAGCAGCAGCAACAGCAGCTCTTCTTCCATTTTCCTTTCCACCCGGTTTTCGCGGGCCACCAACACACCATCACTCTTGGTACACAACCGTCGCCTCGACGCTCCATCTTTCGTCTGCTCTTTCTCTCTTTCCAACACTCTTCATCTTCTCCTCTTGTCTTCTCTTTCTTTCGTCGCCCATGACTCCAAGAATTTTACCAGCTTCCCTCCTCTCTTCTCGACGTCCACCCTGCAGACTTCATTTCGCCTTATACCCTTCACCTACTCCTTATTCCATTCCTACCGTGCGCCTCGCAGTCACCCCCGTTTTCGCGACACGCCTTCCTCGGTATCTTCATTACGCAGCTTTGTCACTACTCAGCGAGCTCACTTAATTCGCATAATTTGCGCAATTTCTGTCTTTTTGACACGCCCCCGCCGTCCCTTGTCATTTTTTTTCGTCCTGCCTCCGAGAACGAGGGTACTTTCGAAACAGCAGGAAGCCACTAAAATGGAATTTTGGAAGATAATATTTTTCCGAGGACGAAGCGAGAGGAATATAACTACGTTCTTTCCGTTGTCAATGCGCGTATCGCGATGATATCACGTAAAAATCTCAATGAAATTAAGAATAAACTTAAAAATTAAGAATAATCTTTTGCATACATATCTCATTATTAATATCAAGTCTCTCTCGTTTCGATTTCGTTAAGCGATAAAGTTTCGTAAATTGACATAAAAAGAGATTAATTCAAAAATATCTGTCGTTATTATTTCGCAGATATATTGTATATTTTTAAACGTAGAGCGGATACATTTCTTCCTCTTAAACCAATGTAGACAAGAAAATATTTCCCCTGAAAGACGCGGCGTCTTTAGTGCTTTGCTTGCTGCAGTATTCTTAGTCATTAATGACAGGAGACGTGCATCTCGGGTACCGAGGAGAATTTCTTCTTAAGAACGGGAGATTTTCCTGCTTTCCTCTTATTCTGGCGAGAACCAATGAGCGGTAAATTTGATAATTCATCAAAGTGATAAATAAAGCATGTCTCATATTCGTTAAAGAGGAGCTGTAAATATAATTGAGAATTTTTCAGTCGAATTACTTGCGCAAAAGATTTCAATGTAGCAATTTTAAATATCAGCATATACATTTGTAAATGTCAGTTCCGATAAATCGTATCAGACACGAAATTTAAGGAATCGCGCGAGATACACGGGCGAATAGGTGCCGTTTCCCCTTTCGTGTATTCCCGCGAGGAAGTTTTTCCCCGATGTTTCATCTGACGGAGGAGCACCACAGCCGGTCGCGTCGCGGTAAGGCGCGGTAAGGCGCGATGGTCGCGGCATTGCGCCGCATTCCGCATCCCTCCATCCGGGGAATCCCACGGTCGGCGTGTAGCCGAGCCGCGACGGGGGATTTAGTTGTATTTTATTCAGCCACTTTATTCCAAGACTTGTCGCAGTTTTACATTTCCATCGGCTGCTGCGGGCGCGGCATGTGGCGCACCGTGTCGGTTCTATTCCTATACGTACCTACCACCAACTCTACGCAACGCTCTCCGTCTCTTTCTCTCTCACGACGACAACATCAACAGCAGCAGCAGCAACAGCAGCTCTTCTTCCATTTTCCTTTCCACCCGGTTTTCGCGGGCCACCAACACACCATCACTCTTGGTACACAACCGTCGCCTCGACGCTCCATCTTTCGTCTGCTCTTTCTCTCTTTCCAACACTCTTCATCTTCTCCTCTTGTCTTCTCTTTCTTTCGTCGCCCATGACTCCAAGAATTTTACCAGCTTCCCTCCTCTCTTCTCGACGTCCA